CCAACACAATGTCTTACCTAATTCTTCTCTCTCAACTCTCAAGACTTTGTTGGTCTACAGAGACCTTTCAATCAAAAGCTCTTTCACTTTTTTTTTTCTCGTCATTCTTATTCCAAGTTACTCTCTTTATTAAAGCAAATAGTTTCAAAAGATTATTCTTTTTCTTTTTGGTTTTCCTTCCAAACTACTCAGGTTGAGTGGATGCTAGTATGTGTAACAACTACAAGGCAGCACTATTACAAATTCTCCCGTCAAACCATTCCTGCGATTCGTACTTTGTGTTGGTGCAATTTTGTATTCTTTTCTTTGGTTGCTATATGCACGTTCCTTCCTAACACTAGCGAATATCCATGATGACATGAATAGCTTGGGTCCTTCAGCTCCACGTGTGATAAGCCCATTGGCTTTCTTATCTTTGTCTATAACTCAGATTTGCTTCTCACAAAGTGCTCCTCACACCATTTTCACGGCACATAGCAATCATGCATTAAGATCCATATACCATAAGATATTTCTAATGCACTACACTTGACACATTGTTTTTGGACATTCATGTGTTATGTATTATGGAGAGTTGTCAAAACTAGGGGCTTGCACTTCTTGTTCCTTGTCAATGTACAGAAGTGTTCTGAAAAAATAAAATTGAAAAAAGGAAAAGGTCACCTGGATCTAAGATTTGAGATTTCAGGTAAATTAATTAAGAAATGTGAAGTATGTGATGAATGAATCGTTGAACATTCCAGGAGAGTTAATTGGTTTGATTCCAAAAAGTATTAAATGAAGCAGAAGAGGAGACAATAAGGACCATGACATTAAATCGTGGCATGTGATGTGGGGCGCCACCTAAGCAATAAATGTACAGGTGGAACTGTCTCCATCATCATACCCACCTTCATTATTATATACTACAATCTTAGAAGACCCCCACCCCCACAATTCTCAGTCAGAAGACCAAAATTTTTCTCAGTCTCTCTCATTATTCTTCTTATTGGGCCCTCTTCTACCTTTTTCATTTGTAATAAAGAAGATGATATCTATTTATGTAACTACTAAAGAATGGTTATTAATTAAATATAGATGCATGCGTATATTAAAGCGGTGAGCTTCCGGGTTATTATTTGCCATATTAGACAAATGAAATGAAGAAAATGACAAAATTTGAATTGGACACATCCATACAATCTACCAATCTGGTATGGCTTCCAAAGATTGAAAACAAAGGAAAAAGATAGTACAGTAGACAACTTTAGTCTTGGATTACACTCCATTTTCAATTAAGACACACTTTCTCCATCTGGTTGGGGAGGTTACTGGTTTATGTCTGTCTCCATGCATTCTCTTTCTCTCTTTGTTTTATTTATTTATTTTTTTTTTGTTTCTGTTTCTGGGACTTCCCAGTAACCAGCACTAGAGAGTTATTGATGGTATTAACATTTGTCGCCGTGATTGAAACGCAACTCCTCTGTATTCAATTTCCGACCTAGAATTTTTGCATTTATTGCAAGGGTAGGTCCATATCCCCCTCAAACCAGTCTTTCTGGAACTAGGGATGGGATTGTTTTTGTGGGGCGGGGATGGGGAGGGGGATAATGGGAATCCTTAGTTGGGGTTAGGGTCGGGATGGATATTGAGGTTTCCCACATTGGCTTTTTAGATTTTCACCAAATACAGCTTTAGCTAGTGCGGGGTTCAGTCTGTATAACGACATGAGCCATGTCCCAAAAGCTCTTTCTAAAACTGACACCAAGTATCTTGGAAAAACATTAAAGCTAGATCCACCAGGAAATTGTTCTCTTGGTTGAATGAAAGCTTATTGGGGCTTATGGGGGGGAGGGGGGTTTCATCAAGTAAAATCAACCAGAAGCCGCTATGTAAAATCCCTCCTACATGGACACTTAGATTTAGCTCCAAGCTTAATACTGCTATCAGGTTTCTGAATACCAACCAAGAAGGCCCAAGAGCATGATAATTACAAGAGAAGAGAAGTCGAAACTCAGTCAATTGGATGAAAGCAAATTCCCTGTTCATGTATATTGGATATTGATTTCATGTACTTTATAAATATTCAATTTCTAACGTGTAAATTTGGGAGTTTAAAAAAAAATAATATATATTTTCCATAGTTAATTATTTATTAGAGGTTTAAGTATTAATTTATTCTTTTTTTTTTCTAGGCTGGGGCTTAGGGCCTTAGGCAGTTAGGCCTATCCACACACACATAAAATCTAGAATCTAAAACCTCCGTCACCCAAAGCGCTTGATAGTGGGAGTCCTTTCATGATGGATTTGTCTTTAGTCTTTACGTGAAGATACACATGTATGATGATCATTCTCCAGATCGCATTCTTTTGAATACTTATCCTTCGAGAATCGAGAGACGGCACGACTCACGAGCATATGTCAGTGGACCGGCATGGGTCAATCGGGTTTGACCGCTAGGTCAGACAGATTAAAAGAAGACCTAAGACATCAACCGGTTGAACCAAAACAGTTAGACCAGTCAGATCAACCCCAGCTGCACCTGCATCACAAATTGACAATTGACAGCATCAACTCAAAACTAGGGCGCGACCTACGTGTGCAAACGAGATCCGAGGCTGAGGCTTACGCAGAGTGGACCGGTCAAGCTGGTTTTGATTTTATTTTTATTTTATAACAATGAAATTAGTGCTTCCGAGCTGGTCCCAATCTCTCAGTCCCTCTGCCTGCCCCAGACCCTATGCTCGGTAAGCGTTTCACTTTCAGTCACCTAGAGCCGAGGGACTAGAAACCCACTTGCATCAAATTTGCAAACACATGAATATTGAATACAACAAACACTACCCATCAAACTTTGCCAGCAAAATAATAAAATAATTGTTATTCCCACAACCCAACCTAGAAAGAAAACCTAGCTAGACGTCAGATAATATTTGGAGGCGTGTGGCGTACGGTGTTTTTGTAAAATCATACAAGAAAACGAATTTGTAAGCTTAGCAAAATTGCTCATTGTCTCGCCATAATAATATTTGTTTATTGCTTTTTTACTTTTATTTTTGGATTTGGAGGGGGGATAAGCACGGAAAAGAAATACGTCAAGTTGGGAAACAAAATTCCTTCCCTTGATCGTACTAGTCATTTCCTGCTGCCTTGGTTGTTGTTGACGGAACAGGAGGTCTAGTTTTTACAGTGGATCCCAAGGCGTTTTACACTTGGATTGGAATCTTTCCTCTCCTTGGGACTCGCATAAACTTGTATCATTCGTTACTACGTGGCTAATCACGAGAAGGAAAGATTCCAATCTCAAGGAAAGTACATCAACTATACGTGGATTACTGTGGGTGGCTGTAGCGTTGTAGTGGTGTACACCAAAATTGTTTTTACGTGCTGGCCAAGCTCCAGACAAAGAGAACAAGCCATCTAGCTTAGTACGCTATGTGGCGATGCATGTTTATACTTTTATGCCAACCAAACTGCATTATTTATTTATTTTTTTTTTTCCTTCCTGGCATCATATTGAGGAAGGAGGACTAAGGGCACAGTAAGAGTGACACGAACACCCAAGCCCAACCCAAACACTACTTAATAATATAACTACTTTTCTACTACAATTAACTGATTTATTTGTAAAAACAAACTTATCTGTCACGTGGCCATTAGAGTAGGCCATATCAGAAAACGGGGGATGATCCAATCGCACAGACAGGATAGAGTCAAAGAAGGGAGAATGCAACCTAACCCTAACAAACAAGCCACAAGAAGACGACGACAACAACCACCAACAGGGCTGCCACCATCTACAGACTACAGCCATTCACGCATTTCTGGTGACTACTGGTATACGTGATTAAAGATTTCTTTGCCAAATTTACCCTCAGAATGAGATAATTTAAGGAATGCTCAAATTTGGATCCGAAGGGCAGCTTTGGGTCAAAATAAAATGACAAGAGAGACGGGTAAATAACATGTTCACCCCCACACTTTAGTGGTTGGAATTTGGAAAGACCTCAATCATCCGTCCAACATGTTCTACTGTTTCAAATCATGGACACGTGCACGAATCTTTCGGTTTGCGAAAATCTTAAAATAAAATAATAAAACAGAAATAATAGTTCTGATTACACCCCCTTCTCTCTTTCTCTCTATTATATAATCCGTCATTGAGAAGCGACGTGCATGGTAATGGGAAAGCACTAGTAGATGTAGATGGTCCTACAAAAACTATTATTTGGGGCGCCAATTATAAACCTCTCATTCTTTTCATAAATAATAATCTCCTGGTTTGATAATGAATCGTGAGCATTATGAAGCATGAACAAAAAAGTAAGGGGGGCACATGGTGTACTTCAATAAAAAGTAGATATGACCACCCACCGGAAGATCAGATTGCCGTGGCCGGAGATGAAACCTGAAAATCCAACTCGCCGTGGGAGTGGGACCCTCTCTCTTTCTCTCTCTCCGTCTGAGACTGTGTGACTGTGTGACTAGTGGCCTAGGTACCCGGGTACGTGGTACATGTTGATGACAGACGGTCCGTTTGGTCTATTAAACATTTGTTGATCCAAATCCAATACTTTTAACGCCTTCCCCTGAATCCCTGATTATCACTCGTCCCGTCTGGTCGTCTCATGAATCTACTTTTATTTGTTTATTTGGACAAATATGTGGGCTCTGTTAATTAAAAAATTTAAAAGCACTTTCTTTCACATTGACTTCTTGGATTCCAAAAACAAATCCGGAGATAAAAGAATTTCCTCTCCAGTCTCCAGACTCTCCGCCATCCTAAGACACCTATCCAGTCTCGGAAATCGATACTCACTGAGTTCTCCCTCCTATCTCCACCTTTCACTTCAGGAAACAAAGAGAAAATTTTGAAAGAATACCACACAAATTCCCATGCTCCCAACCCATCTCCTTCTGTCACTCACTAACTCTTCACTTCGGATTCATAAACCACCTCCTCAAGACAATGACTCTATGCTCCAGACTCGACAGAGTTTGCAGAGCAATAGCAACAGCAATGACAGTGGCAGCAACAGTAACTAATATAATGCATAATTTACGACCAAATCCAATATGACAAAACCCCCCCGCCAATTCTTCTGTACAAAGAAAACTTCACCATCAACAACTTAAGTTACAAAAATAGAAAATAACCCGGATAAGATAACCCAACCCAATTCATGTAAAACAGAACACAACACCCATCCATCTTCATATGCTTAGGAGATCAGGAGGTGGTGACTGTGCTGATATTGCTGCTGCTGGTTGTTGTTGCTGCTGTTGCGGCTGTTGCACAGGCGGCAGTTCTTTTGTTTCTCTGATGGCTGACGTGCTCTGTGTCTCTCCAGCAGTAGCAGCTGCTGATGGAGAAGACTCGGTCATTGCTGAGCTTCCTTGTTTTGAGATGGGTGCCTTCGGCAACTCTGTTAGGATCTGAACAACTTCCCGCATTGTAGGGCGCTCAACAGCCTGCTCTTCCACACACAGCATTGCTACATAGAAAACATGCATCACCTCATGGAGAGGAACGGATGGGAGTCTTGGATCAAGAATCTTTAGAACCCCCTCCTTGTTTGAGTCTGTCATCTTTCGAACCCACTGGACTATGTCCACTCCATCTCCAAACTCCCCAACAGGTTTTCTGCCGCTCACCAATTCTAACAGAACCACACCAAAGCTGTATACATCGCTCTTTTCATCCACCTTCAGCGTGTAGGCGTACTCTGTGAACAACCCCGAGTTAAAATTAAAGGTAAAGGGACTAATCTGCATGCAATTAAATTCAAAATAACATCGAAGCAAAGTATATATAACCTGTATTCCCCAAAAGCATTACTTAGTACATACTAAAATCTAATCTCTAAGAACCAATTAACAGGATCTCTAAAACAACGAACATGGTTTAAATATGCAATTTCATTGCTTAAGTTAATAGGATAAAAAAATTCTAAAAAATAGCAAGGGAGTGACATGAACAAGAACAGCCCAATTCAACAAAGAAACTATTTTTTCAGTCGTGTTAAAAGAACCCCCAAAGTCAGCATAAACCACGAACTAAGAAATTTATTACAAAATCTTACATGCATTACCAGATCTTGGAAGTCATTTTGGAAATCCCAATTCTTTCTTCTTTCGTTCTCGGCTTATGGAAAGTTATTAGAATTTTGAAAACAAGTCAAGAACATCATTCATCCAAAACAACTATTAGCTAGTACTAGGGAGCACAATTGCTGAATTTTATTACCTGGGGCGATATAACCATATGAACCAGCAATTGCCGACATGCACTCTGAGGTGCCGGAATCCTGCAGAAACTTGGCGAGGCCAAAATCTGCAACGTGAGCTTCAAAGTTGGAATCCAGGAGGATGTTGTTTGATTTCACATCACGGTGAAGGATCAAGGGAGAACAGTCGTGGTGCAAGTAACAGAGCCCCTTGGCAGCCTCCACTGCAATCTTGTATCGTGTGTCCCAGTGCAAGTGACCACCCTTCTTGCCATGAAGAACTTCACCCAAACTCCCATTGGGCATGTATTCGTAAACAAGAAGGTTGGTTTCATGGTTGGAACAGAACCCCAATAACCTCACTATGTGGCGGTGTCGAATCCTCCCCAGAGTCTGTATCTCTGCATTAAACCCATGGTCATGGGATGATCCTCGGCTCATGGCTGGAAGCCTTTTCACGGCAACCTGGTCGCCATTAGGCATGACACCCTTGTAAACAATGCCAGCACCGCCCTTCCCTATGATGTTATCTTCCTTCAAGCAATCCAAAACATCATCACAGGTGAAATCCAGTCGCTGGAATGCGGTGAGCTTCCAGGAACGGGCTTCACTCGCCTTCTTCAGCGACCGAGCTTTGAAAATGGCAGCAATAGCAAATGCAATAGAACATACAAGCAGACCAATGACGAGGAGGAGCTTCAATGAAGCAGAGAGTGAGCCTTTAACGTGGCCTTGGTGGGTACCATTGCCCACCCCAAATTTGCAAGGTCCTAAGTATGGTCCACAGAGATCAGGGTTGCCAACGAAGCTGGTCGAATTGAAGTAACTAAATTGGCCAGTCCCAGGAACCAAACCAGAGAGATTGTTGTAGGAAAAATCAACAGAAGTCAAGCTCTGCATAGTTGCGATTGATGCTGGGATGCTCCCGGTAAGATGGTTTCTCGATAGGTTCAGGTAATTCAAAATTCGCATACCTGTCATCTCTGGTGGAATCACACCCGATAACTCGTTCCTACTGAGATCGACGAATGTCAGCAACTTGCATTGGCTGATTTCCGAAGCGATCGGCCCGGAAAACCTGTTATTGCTGAAATCCATTTTCGATAGCTGCTGTAACCTTCCTATCTCGGCTGGAATGCTACCGAAGAAGAAATTCCCGTCGAGGAGGAGCTTCTGGACGCCAGAAAAGTTGCCAATGGACCGTGGAAGAGAACCCGTAAGCTGGTTGTTTGAAAGGCTTATCTGTCCAAGATCCTCAGCGATCGAATCAGTCTGCGGGAAGCCTCCGACGAGATAGTTATCCTGAAGTTCTACCTGAGCGAGATTGGGTAGGCTAAAAAGCCCCTTAGGTATAGTACCATTAAGAAAATTCTCCCCCATCCGAATCCGACTCAGCGATTTGCATCTTCCCAGCGATTCCGGAATCGGACCGAACAAAAAGTTGCCCAAAGCGATTAGAGTATGAAGCCGATTTCCAAAACACAGATCGGGAGGGAGATTTCCCGTGAGCTTGTTGGACGACAGATCTAGCAGTTGGAGCCTCCCATTCTTTCCAAGCCCCTGAGGAATACTTCCAGTGAAGTTATTCTCCCAAAGCTGCAGAACCTCTAGTGCCGGCAAATCTCCAATGAAGTCGGGAATTGCACCATGTAATTTATTCCTGAAAAGATTCAACAGCGTCAGGTTCTTGAGCTCGGAAAATGTCGCTGGAATCTCGCCCGCAAGCATGTTGTTCGAGAGATCCATTGATTTCAAGCTCTTCAGCTGCCCTAACTCGGGCGTAAGCCCCCCAGAGAGGCCATTCACCTGAAGAAACAATGTGTCCAATTTCTGAAGCTTACTGAACTCAGGAGGAATCTCACCGGACAATCCACAGTTGGCCATATCCAATCGAACCAGTTCCGTGAGGTTTCCCAGCTCCGGTGGGATACCGCCTTCATAGCTATTGTAATATCCAAGGTAGAGCTGCTGAAGCTTGGTTAAGTTGCCGATTTCGGGCGGTATAGTACCCCCGAGCTCGTTACCAGAAAGCGCTAGATACTCGAGGAACTCCCAGCGTCCGTACTCGGACGGGATTCGTCCAGAGAAGAAGTTGCCGCCGAGGTGGAGATGTCGCAGATTGGGCATCTCAGACACATCGACAGGTAAATCTCCGGTCATGTTATTGTTATACAAATCGAGAACTTCTAGCAACTTGAGACGAGAGAACTCGGAAGGGAAGCTGCCATTGAAGACATTATTGGAGAGATTCAACAAACGGAGGCCGGAGATGTGAGAGATCTCCGAGGGGATGGGTCCAGAGAAGAAGTTAGCGGCGGCGGTTAGGTTGATGAGGTTGCGAAGCTGGCCGACGTCAGGTGACAAAATGCCGGAGAGGTTCATGTTGGAGAGATCAAGAGAAACGACTCGATTAAAGGAGTCGCAGGAGACACCGGTCCATGTGCAATGGCTGGTGGAGAGATTCCAATTCGGAAGGGAAGCTTGGGGGTCGTCAGAAATGGCGGTTTTGATGGATAGTAAAGCACGGTATTCCGGTATGCGGAGTGGCCTACCGGCAACTCGGTGGTTGTTAAGGAGGTAGAGGAGAATCAGAAGAAGAAGATGGAACCGCATTTTTATCCCCTATTTTTGTTATTTTGTCGAGGGAGCTGAGAAGAAGAGAAGAAGGCAGATGGAAGAGTAAGGGGATGGAGTGAAGTAGTAGAATAGAATGGGAGAGAGTCAGCGAAGAAGCAGGAAGTCTCGTTTGAGCAAGGTTTTTAAAAACGAGCCGGAAACAGAACCGGTCAGGGGACCGGTTTCCGGTTAAACGGTTCAACCGTTCGGTCGAACAGTTCGACTCGTGACATCATAAATAAATTAAAATAAAAATATAGTATAAAATTAAATAAAAAACAGAAAAAAATAAAAAAAATCCAGAAAAATAAAACCATAAAACTTCATCACCAAATCTCTCTCTCATCCTATGAATCCTCCATCTACTTCGATTGAAGCAAAAAAACAGAGCCCTTAGAAGTGGTGTACGTAGGAAGAGCAGAGCCACCCAAGGCCGCCGCCACAGTTTCAGTGCAGATGATCGAGCTGCATATCTTTCTCTCCACCATAGCCCGACTTGCATGATTAATGGTGGATGCCACCTCTCGCACATTGATGAACATGGTTTTGCCGAACTATTCTATATACATCTCTAGAATGCTGCTTAGATGATCCCGTTGATTGTCGTAGGCAAGGTTCAAAGTATTGATACAATATGCTCGATACGGGGCGTATCATATCGTATCTTCTAGAATAAGATACGAGATACGGCATGAATTCGTAAATGTCGTATATTTTTTCTCGTATCAGTACCATATTGACATGATACGGGGCCGTAACGTGTGTAGGTGTCGTATCGATTGATATGCGTCTGATACAAGGGCGCATCGTTCAATACGATGCTAAAACGATATGAGCGGTACTATAATTTTTCGAGCTCACGAAAGAAGGCTTCTTTCTCTCGAAAAAAAGCCTTTTGTCCCTTCCAAACAAAACAACAACAACAACAACAACAACAACAAAAACGCATCAAAACTTGAAGATTTGGGAAGATTTTTGAAGTTTTGGGAAAATATTGTGAAAACAGGTGAGTATTTTCAATTTTTTTCATCTAATCTCTCTGATTTGTTGTTTATTTCTTGTTTGAATGCTTGGAAATGCTCTAAACCTACCTGATCTACATTTCCCATGTCAAAAATCACACTTTTTTTTTTTATTATATGTGTAGATATATGGATTTTTATGAAGAAAAATGGAAAAATAAAAATAAAGAAAATAATTTTAAAAAAATTGCTTCTTTTTCTATTTGAATGTAATCACTTAATATGTTAGAAACCTATGGGTGATCTACCATATCCATGTAAGATTTGAAATTTTCTATGTAATTTGTTTTTTTTTTAATAATTTTGTAATTTTTGAAAATAAATAATAAATATTAATTAATTAATTTTTATTATGATTTGTCCATAAACACTGAATATATTGTAGATCTATGGCTGATCTATCATATCCATACATTATTTTACATTTATCATTCAAATATGATTTTTTTGTAATTTTTAGAATTAAAAATACATATTAATGAATTCTTTTTTAATATGATTTATCCATATACACTGAATATATTCTTAATATATGGCTGATCTATCATATCCATAGATTATTTGACATTTATCATTCAAATATGATTTTTTTTTAATTTTCTTTGGTAATTTTCAGAATTAAAAATAAATATTAATTAATTATTTTTTAATATGATTTGTCCATAGACAATGAATATATTCTTAATATATGGCTGATCTATCATATCCATAGATTATTTGACATTTATCATTCAAATATTATTTTTTTTAATTTTCTTTTGTAATTTTCAGAATTAAAAATAAATATTAATTAATTATTCTTTAATCTAATTTGTTTATAAACACTGAATATGTTCTTAATATATGGCTGATCAATCATATCCATGTATTATTTGACATTTATCATTCAAATACATTTTTTTTTAATTTTTTTGTACTTTTCAGAATTAAAAATAAATATTAATTAATTATTTTTTAACATGATTTGTCCATAAACACTGAATATATTCTTAATACATGGTTGATCTAACATATCCATAGATTATTTGACATTTATCATTCAAATATGATGTTTTTGAATTTTTTTGTAATTTTGAGAATTAAAAATAAATAATATTTAATTATATTTTTTTATGATATGCATATAGCCTTAAGGATTGAATATATTCTTAATATATGGTTGATCTATCATATCCATTGATCATTTGGCATTTATCATTCAAATATGATTTTTTTCTTTTCTTTTGTAATTTTTAGAATTAAAAATAAATAATAATTAATTATATTTTGTTATGATATAGCCCTAAGGACTGAATATATTCTTAATATATGGCTGATCTATCAGTTTTAAAATTAAAAATGAATATTAATTATTTATCTTTTATTGTAAGTTTTTCATAAACACTGAATAAATTCTTAATATATGCCTAATTTAACATTTCAATAGATCATTTGGTTTTTTTACTTAAATTTGAATAATAATTTGGAAATGTGGATCATGAATAAATATGACATTTATATTGAATAAATATAAATATGATTATGAAGTGTTTTCTAATTTACTTTTATGGTTTACGTGAATTATGAAGTACTCTCTACCGAGTATTTGATATGGCACCTAAAAGGGAAGAATAACCAAATATTGGATGGAGATATGATACTAAAGTAAATAATAATAGACTCCATACCAAATATAATTTTTGTGGGCAGATTATGAAAGGCGGTGGTGTAACCCGTCTTAAACATCACTTAGCTAGAGGGAATCCAAATGTTTCTAATTGTCCAAAGTGCCTAATGGAAATTTCCAAGGCAATAAGAGAACATCTCAAAGAACCGAAGATGTTGAAAAAATAAAAACAAAGAGAGAAAAAAATGATAGGAAGAACATTAAGGCCTAGAAGGGATGATGGGAATGAGGAAAAAGAAGATGATGATGATGGTGAAGAAAGGCCTGAATATGTTAACATTGATGATGATGATGATGATATAGAGCAAAGGGCATTCAATATGGGTAGACATACATCATGAGTTTCTCAATGGGAACAAGAACAATTACAAAGATTCCATAACACTATGCCCCAATTTAGAAAATCACAACACCAAGAGGGGGGTTCTTCACAACCACAATTATCTAAAAGTAAGAGTAGTATCTTTCCAATAAAGAATTGGAAAGAAGCACTTAACATATTTAAACCCTCTAAGTCCAAAAAATCCTCAAAAAGTGACATTCTTAATATAGAAGAGATGGACAAATTTTTGTATAGAGACAAAGATGCTAAGAAAAAAAAATTAAGGAGTGTTATGAACATGGATTTGGAAATGATGCTAGAAGAGTTGTTTCAAAGTTTTTTCTATACAATCATATCCCTGCAAATGCAACAACATCTTCATATTATAAAATCATGATAGATGAAATTACAAAAGCAGGAAAAGGTGTACGGGGGCCTACACCTTATGAAATTATGGGGAGGTTCTTAGATGAGGAAGTTGAAGAGTTGAAAAGCCATTTCAAAATATTCTTCCAAAAAGTTCAAATATATGGGCTCACTATTATGTGTGATGGTTGGACAGGACCAACTAGATTGTCGATCATCAATTTTATGGTGTATTGTAATGGGCAAACAATGTTTCATAAATCTATTAATACATCTAGTGATCGACATAATGCATAGTATTTGTCTTATTTGATGAATGAGTGGTTGATAAAATTGGTGCAGAAAATGTTGTACAAGTTGTAACTGATAATGGAAGTGCTTATAAAACAGTTGGCAGAATGTTAAAACAAAAAAAAAAGCACTTGTATTGGACACCGTATGCAGCTCATTGCTTTGATTTAATATTAGAAGACATTGCTAAACTTTCTATGGTGTCTAGAGTGATTGAAAGGGGAAAAACAATTACCAATTTCATTTATAATCACTCAATTGTTCTCAACTTGATGAGGAGTTTCACAAATAATAGAGGGTTAATACGCCCAGGGCCAACTCGCTTTGCTACTCATTATATTGCTTTTAAAAGTCTAAATTCTCAAAAGATAACATTAAGACGCATTATTGATTCAGATGAATGAAAATCATTATCACAAGCAAGGACAAGAAGAGGAGAAGTTGAGAAAATTATCAATGACAACAATTTTTGGAAATTAGTTCAACAATATGCTTTGATGACTGAGCCCCTTGTAAAAATGCTTCGAATTGTTGATGGTGATAAAAGAGCAATAATGGGAATTGTATATGAGGCAATGCGTAGAGTGAAGAAGATGATTGAAGATAAATTTCCAAATTTAAATTAATACATCTTGGACATTATAAACAAAAGATGGAATGCATAACTCGTTTACCATTTGCATAAAGCAGGTATTTTTTACTCTATTTAATTATATCATTAATTTTTAATATTTTATATTTTTATGGTAAATGCTAAATCAGATTTTAAGATGTCAATTAACAATATTATTTTTTGTTAAATTTTAGCATATTATTTAAATCCAGCTTTTCAATATGATCATGATCTTGTTGTGAATGAGGATTTATTGTCATTTTTGAAAAAAATCATTACAAGGCTGGAGCTAGATGAAACTAGAGCTACCATTGCTCTACAAGAGGTAAAGTGTAATTATGTAAGTTGATAAATTATATAATAAATATATTTTAATAATATGATACAATATTTGTTATTAAAATTTTAATATATTCTTGATTTCTATATTCTTTAATTTAATTATCAGTTGTTAACTAATTAAATTTATTTTTAATATTATACATTTTTTATTTATATTAAAATGTATATATATATATATACACATATACATATATATAATATATATATATATATATATATATTTGTTTTTTTAGCTGAATGGTGATTGATTTATGGCCAAGATGCCCCCATCTTCATAAAATAGCAATAAGGGTATTTTCACAAATGGCTTCTTCCAGTGATTGTGAACGAAATTGGAGTACCTTCAGCCTTATTCATACAAAGCAGAGGAATCGTCTATCTTATAACACTTTGGAGAAATTGGTATATGTCCACTACAATATGAGATTAGAGTTAGACACCAAAGACACAGAAATAAGGGTCTTAGGTGAACCAAGTAATCCTCCAAGAC